ATCTCCTCTATTTATTTTCATCTCATCACTTATTGTCTGCCTCTCTTTGTTAGAATATAAACTTTATAAAGAAGTGAGTCATTGTCTATACTGTTTAATAATGTACGCTAAGCACCTGAATTAGATACTCAAATATGGTTGGGGCTCAGTAAATACTTATAGAGCAAAAGAATATGTAAAATCTGACAATTTCTCACCACCTCAAATTGCTATCATCCTGGTCCATGTTAGCATCATCACTTGCCATGATAATTGTAATTCCTTCCCAAATGTTGCCACTATTTTCTGCCATTCCACAGTCATTCTCTACGGAGTAGCCAGAATGATTCTTTTAAAACATAGGGCAAATAATGTCATTCCTCTCATCCAAACCCTTGGAAGCTTCTTCTATCACTCTGAGTAGCCATAATCTGACTCCAGGCTACCTCTCTGACCTCTACTTTTCTTACCAATTTCCTCCTTGCTCACTGCTGTCTGTAATCTTCTAGGCCATTCCCTGAACTACCCAAGCATGCTCCTGCTCAAGGGACTTTATGATTATTGTAATTTTGTTCCAAAACACTTTTTTTCTTGATGCTTACATGCCTTGCTTTCTCTCTTCCTGCAGGACTCTGCTCCAGGAATATTTTATTAAGGAAGGTGAATGTTACATGTAAAATAATATCTTCCCGTCACTCAGTTTTTACTTGTTTTTGTGTTTTTTTTTGAAAAAATAAAATGTAACACCAGAAATATATTGTAATTTCTCCTCACTAGATTTTAAATGCCATATGAACTGAAAATTTTTTACCACTAATTTCTCAGTTACCTATGGAACATAGTGGGCATTCAATTATTTCTTGAATGAGTAATTGAATAAATAATGCAGCTGTTATGAGCTTAGACTTTGAAGTCATAAGATTTTCTTTATAAAACGGTTATTAAACATAGTAATATTGTATTGGTTAGATGATATTAAAACATGTGAAGAATTTAGTATATTATTTATAAATATTTAATAAATAGTGATGATGAAAAGAGAAAGCAGGTTTAGGAATATAATTGAGAAAATTATTATGTGAACACTTTGAATTTTTAGGCTGTTTCTTTCCTGTTAAGTTAACAGCCCTACACTGGGTTGATGTGGTTACCAATTTGTAAAATTTAGGGGTGGAATAGGACATTTCTAGCAAGCTTAGCTTTAAAAGTGCACCTGATTCCATTAAGCAAAGGAAGAAAGTCCCTGGAGTTGCTTCCTGCCTTGGGCATCTGTACTTGTATGTATGTGCAGCTTTATACATGTGAGTATACAGTTGGTCATCATTATGCATGGATTCCATCTCTGTGAATTCATCTACTCACTAAAATTTATTTGCAACCCCCCAAATCCCTCAAATCAATACTTGAGGTGCTTTCACAGTGCCTTTGTGGTCATTGGCAGACATGCATGTGCACAAAGCAGTGGAAAATTTGTTTCCTGACAGGTGTGTTTCCAGCTGAAGTCAAACAAGGCGATGCTCTACCATCTTGTTTCACTTCAACAGGTGTCCCTTTTGTTATTTGCGGGCACATATTTTGCCTTTTTGTGCTTTTTGATGGTGATTTCATGGTTTAAAATGGACCCTAAGTGTAGTGCTGAAATGCTATCTTGTGTTCATGATTACAAAAAACCTGTGATGTGCTTTACAGAGAAAATACATGTTTTAGACAAGCTTCATTCAGGCATGAGTTACAGTGCCTTGTCTATCCATGAGTGCAATGCTAATGAGTCAACAGTATAAATTAAATAGGAGTTTTTAAAAGGAAACACATATAAAATAAGGTTATACATTGATTGGCTGATGAAAATGTTATGACCAGAGACTCACAGGAACCTAACCCTGTATTTTCTCCTGAAAGCAAAGATTCAGTATTTGCCAGTTCAGCGTTTGCGGTGACTTTATAAAATTTAATTGCCGCCAACAACAAGAATCAGCCATATGTATATTGTGACTACATGGGTTGTGCTAGTATCTCTCTAGGCAGGTTTGGTGTGCAAATTAGTGGACAAATATGAATATTAGGAATGTTAACAGTAAACAGAAGCTCCATTTCCCATTTAGGTGAATTGGGGTCCATTTTAAACCATGATTAAAATTAAATAGGCAATGCCTTTGGCTTACTCTAAATGAATACAAACTTTCTGGGTTATTTCCTTTAGAAATTCTATGCCAGGAGGTAAAAGTACTGATCCTTCATTAAAAGTTCCCAATGCACAGAAGCATATGCTTCCAAAGATATTCTCCATTAGGGAATAAGTTTAGCATAAAAACTAAGAGCATAGACTCTGGAATCCAAAGCCTGGGCTCAGATACAGTCCCTACTATTTCCTGCCAATGACTTTAGAGAATAATCTCCCTGATCCAAGGTTTGATGATGTATAAAATGAGGAGTATACTAAGATCTACTTCATAATGTTGTTGTAAGGCCTAAGTGAGATTCACAGGAATAATGATTAACAGGGGGCTTCACACATACATACTAAGTGTTCAACATTTACTGGCCATTATTATTCTTGGAGCAATAATAATTGTTGAAAATTTGGATTTCATTTCCTCCAAGAATTATAAAACTGACAGTTTAAAATAAATGGATAGGATTCAAAAAATATCCATGCAGTCACCCTTCGATTTCACTCTCTTGCCTCCAGCATTTCTTTCATAATCCCAAGGAATACTTGTTCTGACATACCACATGCAAATCCTGGCTCAGGGCTTGGTTTACAGTCTTATCCTTGAAAAGGAACAAGGCAGGACTAAGAGCTAAGAATGAGGTAGAAAGAGGAAAGGGCAGCTCCCTCTCTTGAGGGTTCCATTGCTCTTAATCTCTCCTCTTCACTCCCCTTCCCACATCTCCATGTATCCTGGGACCAATTTTAAAATGAGTGCCTGACAACTTCCTTATGGAATATAGATTCCTGCTAATGAATCCAGGCTGTAGATTTTGATTTTCATTACAAGTTTAGTATGTCAAAGCTGAGGGACTCTTAAAAGTTTGTACCTAGACAGAGTGAGACAGTTAATTTTATGTGTTAACTTGACCAGGCCATGGGGTATCTACACATTTAGTCAAGCATTATTCTGGGTGTGTCTGTGAGGAAATTTTTGGATGAAATTAACATTTGAATCAGTAGACTGCCTTTCTCAATGCATGTGAACCTCATGCAATCCATTGAAGGCTTGAATAGCAGGGAACTCTTGCTACCTTACTGCCTTCCAGCTATGGTATCAGTTTTTTCCTGCCTTTGGACTCAAACTAAAACATTTGGCTTTCCTGGGGCTCTGGTGTGCCTGCATTTGGACAGGAGCTACACTATTGGCTTTTCTAGGGCTCTAGCTTGCTGAATGTAGTTCTTGATACTGGTAAACCTCCATAACCACATGAACCAATTACTTAACAATATGTTTTTTTTTTTTCTCTCTCTCTACACACACACACACATACACACACACATTCATTAGTTATGTTTATCTGGAGAATCAATACACAGGGATTGGAATAATGCCTGGCATATATTGCATGCTCTCCTAGATCCCTGGTAGACATTTTTCTCCACTGAGGACCAATAGATCGTCTGATCACAGCCATTCAGTAAGTGAGACAGTTCAGAGCTGGGCTCAGGGCTTAGTTCTCTAAACGTTTAGCCTGGGGCTCTCTTCATTCCCTGGCAGCCTCTACGCACATGACATATTTTCCTCAGGTCCACGTCGGCTGACATGGTTTGGCTGTGCCCCCATTCAAATCTCATCTTGAATTGCAGTTCCCATAATTCTCATGTGTTGTGGGAAGGACCTGGTGGGAGATAACTGAATTACGGGGGTGGTTTCCCCCATACTGTTCTCGTGGTAGTGAATACATGTCACGAGATCTGATGGTTTTATATTGGAAAACCCCTTTCCTTAGCTCTAATTCTCTCTTATCTGCTGCCATGTAGGACATGACTTTCACCTTCCACCATGATTGTGAAGCCTCCCCACTCATGTGGAACTGTGAGTCCATTAAGCCTCTTTTTCTTTATAAATTACCCAATCTGGGTACGTCTTTATCAGCAGTGTGAAAACAAACTAATACATCAGCCTTATAGACTCTCAACATAAAATGGAATAAAGACATTTTGGGACAAATGACATGTCGCAGGCCCCAGAGTCTAAGCTTTGAATACCTGTCCAGTTTTCTACAAGCTGTGTGACATTGGGCATGTTACTTAACCTTAACCTACATAAGCTTGTGAACCTGGATTTTCTCATCTGAGAAATGGGGGAAGAACTATACTTTCCCCACAGGGAGATTTTCAAGATCATATATAAAATATTTAGCATACTCTTTGGTATACAACTATGTTGAAGAAAAAATTATTCATGACATTTGTTAAAACAGTAAAGCAGACTTTATTCAGGACCATCAAGATAGGTTATAGAGACTACTGTGATGGGGTTTTGCAGCAGAAGAGAGAACTGAAACACAACAAGGAAAAGCGGAAATTTATAGCCAAACAGCATGGTGAGTGGGGCTCAGTGAGTGGAAAATTACCAATAGGAAACATCAGGAGTAAGAGAGGATTACGGCTAAACAAACCTAACAGTGCTCTTGCTGAAGACAGGACAAGGTGATCAGACATCACCTGGGAGATGGTGGAGGATGAAGAACCCAATCAAATATCAAGGGTAGCGGATTGTGGCTAAGCCAAGTTAGCAAGATTTTTTGCTAAAATTGGGTGATGCAAAAACGGACATAGAAGTCCAAAAGTCAAAACCTAGTTGGGATAAGGATTCAGAAAAGTCTGACTATAGTTGGGTTAAGGAGAGGATCTTTGTCAATAAACATTCAAAAGTGTTAGCTTTTTTTTTTTTTTTTTTTTTTAAGCTATCACTGAGACCACTATCAGATTCTTAGAATACCCAGTCTAATATTATTTATTCATTTAGGAATCCCAAGTAAAGGTGATCAGACAGTAAGCCAGTGGGGTCTGTGTGTATACTCACCAAATCAATTATGCCAATGTTATTCCAGCCTTGCATTATAGGGAGAAAAGAAATAAACGTTGGGATGACCCAGCAGCCTCCCAGCATTAGTGCGATGCGCAGAGGGGTCATCTTGTTCCTATAGACCAAAGGCTGGCAGCAGATGGCGTAATACCTGGAGAGAGGATAGAGGGCAGAGCATAGGCATGGGCAAGGAAGAATGGAAGGGAGAGAAAGAAGAACGTATGAGAGAGAAGAGGGGTGGAAAAGGGGGTGGAGCAAGGGATAGAGAGGAACAAACATTGAGAAGAGTTGGAGGGGAAACAATAGAAATAAGAAAAGAAGAAAAGAAATAATAAAGGGTGAAAGAGGAGAGCAAGTAGTAGAGGAGGGGGAAAAGAAGGAAGAGAGAAGGGAGAAAAGAACAGAGGAAGAAATGATTATATGATACAATATAGTATGCTGGCCTGTGAGTTTCTGTTAACATAAATATTAATATATACTTTGGATCACATCTGAGAATCATTGCCTGCAGTTAGCCCCACAGTCCTCTCCATCTCCCAATATCTGGAGGAGCTCCACACACACCAGAATTTATTTTCTGTCTCAGGCACTCTTCCAACACTATTCTGATGCCTGTGCATTGAGGAGCTTCTGTTCAGCCCTCTGGGTCTCAGTGTCCAGGCACCTGTAGCCTATTTGTTTACCACTTGAGGTGACCCAGGCATAGCCCTACATCTGAGCTCTAACCACTGTATCTCAAATTTGTCCTTTTCCCCTTGATCACCTGCCTACATGGAAGTGGAGCTCTAAGTCAGTGTTGTTTTTTAAATTGTAGTTCACAGATTCCCCTCCATCCCCCCATCCCTGCCATGCTGTATCAAACTCACCTGAGGAAGCCTTTTTAAAATGCAGATCCCAAGGATATCCTGAATCAGAGCCTGTTGGTGAACAACCTGGAGCTTGCATTTTGACAAGTGTGAGTCATTACTGCTGTGTGCTAAGGATACCCAATTTCCACCTTCCAAACACGTATACCTCCTGGCCTCCTTATGGTTGGGTAGGACCAAGCGACTGGTCCTTACCAATGAATCATGAACAGAATTAACATGCATCACTCCTAGGACAAACCACTTAACTGTTTCTGGGATATTAAGAATGTAAAATTTTGAATATTTTGTGCTCCATCATTTCCTGTCTACTGGATGAGACACCCCAATTCCATTTATTAGAGTCTGACCTCTCTCATGGGACTCAGTGCTCACACTTTTTTGATTCCATGTTCTGCCTATGTTCTTACTTTTTCTTCCTGCGTCCAGAAAGAGGTACAACCTGCCCATTTAACAGTCTGGCCTGTCCTAGACCATTCCTGCATATTATTATGGCCTTGGAAATCACCTCTTCCATGCCCAGTCATGGCATGGAATTTCACAAGAGGCAGAATGCTACAGTAGATCTATCATCTATTTCTCTTTGGGAGAGTAAAAAACATAAATGCAAAAGAGCCTGGAGACTAAGTCTATTCTCTAAGGTTTTATATCATTTAATGATGAACCACCCCCATCCATCCCTCATTTTATGCAGTTCACTTTGTTAATTTTTCCCACCTCTTCTTTTCTTTTCTTAATTCAAAGCATAACTAACATAACAAAGGCTACATTCTTTGAAGAGGCGGTAGTAGGGTGGGTTGAGAGAGAGGGTGGAATGAGGAGGGCCCGGTGTTGGAGTATGAGGAACAGGTGCCTCAAATGCAGGAAGAGGAGAAATACCCCCTCTCCTACAAGGCATTGAGAAGCAGCTGACTGCATTGTTCCAAGAGCTCCTTGTAGCCGGAAGCTTGATGCAGCGTCCTGACCTGGGCCAGAGTGCAAGAAACAACAGATCAAAGAATGGGAGAGTGGCTTGCTCAGAAAAACCATTGTCTCGATTATAATTCTGACATGGCTGCAAAGTCAAACTAAAGATAACTCAGTTATTGAAAGAATCATGATTAGCTGGATTCCCTCCATGTTGTTGGCTTACAAGGAAGGCAAATTATATGCACGGCAAATTTTTCTGAATGGTGATATTCATAATCATCAAAGGTTTATTATTAACATAGAATTAATGATGAATTTGAAGTGGATGAAATATACCCTTTTTTTCAAATTTTGTTTCCTTCTTGATTTCCTGTTGGGGGACAAATCTCCTTCCATTTAACATCCTTCCTCCTTTCTCTTGTTAATAGCACTCCAAATCCTTCAAGAGTTATCTCTTTGTTGTTGCTATGGTGTTATTGGGAAAACAAATGATGGGATTCTGACTTTTCTAGCCAAGGAGTGACCTGATCAGACTTTCTCCTGGAACTCAATGCCCTGCAGAGGGATGCAAAATGGGCAAGTCGACAGAGGGCGCTTTATCCCAGCAGCAGCCCCACGGCAGGGCTGGGGATTCATTCGTGCTCCTTGGATCTTCTGCAGCATGCTCTTACCCATCAAGTCCTCACTCCTTAGCTCTCTCTTTGAATAAACCACTTCATATCTTTCCAGTAAATTATCTTTTTGCTTAAGCTGGTGTCATGGGTTGAACTGTGTCCTCCCTCTTCCAAAAGATACATTGAAGTCCCAACTCCCAGTAACCTTGGAATGTGATCTTATTTAGAAATAGGATTGCAAAAGAGGCAGTCAAAGTAAAATAAGGTCTTCAGGGTGATCCTGAATCCAATGTGACTGATGTCCTTATGAAAAGGAAAATTTTGACACAGAAACTGATATGCACAGTGGAAAGGTGGCCATGAGGAGACGGAATATTGGAGTGATGTGTCCATAAGCCAAGGAACACTTAAAGTTACCAGCAACCACCAAAGATCAGGAGGAGGCAAGAAATAGTCCTTCCCCTCCAGGTTCCAGATGAATCATGGCCCTATTGACACCTTTATTTCAAACTTTCAGTCTTTAGAACTGTGAGACAATAAGTTTGTATTTTTCTAAGCCATCCAGTTTGTGGTATCTGTTATGACAGCTTTAGCAAACCAATACAGTTGGTTAAAGGCAATCTCTGTTACTTGCAAGCAAAGTATCCTGCCTCACACAGAACAGTAAAACTGGCTTGAATGCCAGATATATCTTTCATAGTATATTTTTTTCTAAGTAAAAATATCTTTTTGTTTTATTCAATATACTTTCAGATCATAGCTCAAGTTTTGACATCCTTTCTTCTATTATCCCAAAAAGGCAATAGAGGGATAAATGAAGAATGAATTCTGCCCTATCTTTGCTGTGTATTCAATATAATTGTCAAGGTTCATAACCAGGTGCTGAGATGTTGCCAAATAAAGAGCAGATTTCAGAAATTTTGGTTGGATCTCCAATGTTACAAAAATCCAAAAGTTCCAAAAGACAAGGCCAAATTAAGTAACCCTCAGGGCACTATTCACCACAACCAAGGTAGGAACCAACCTAAGAGTCTATCGGTGGATAGATAAATATAGAAAATGTGGTATATACACACAATGGGATATTATTCTGCCATAAAAAAATAAAATCTTATCATTTTCAGTAGCATGGATGGAACTGGAGGACATTATGTTAAGTGAATAAGCCAGGCACAGAAGGATAAATACTGCATGTTCTCACTTATGTGACGGTGCTAAGAAAATTTATCTCATTGAGGTAAAACCTAGAATGATGGTTACCAAAGGCTGGGAGGGGTAGCATGTAGGGGGGAGATGAAGAGGGGTCAGCAAATGCATACAAAAATACAATTAAATAGTGGAAATAAGATGTTTGTGCAGCACAACAGGGTGACTATAGTTAACAATAATTTATTGTATCTTTCAGACTAGCTAAAGGAGTAGATTTGGAATGTTCCCAACACAAAGAAATGATAAATGTTTGAGGTGATGGATATCCCAACTACCCTGATTTGATCACTACGCAATGTATGCTCATATCAAAATATCACACGTACCCCATAAGTATGTACAACTATTATGTACCCATAAAGTTTAAAATTTTTTAAATAGATAAATAATATCTTGCAGGATAAAAAGTACATTTGAGAAAGCAGGATGTCTTACCTGAGAAGATTCTTTGATTTCCATAAATGGATGTGGATGTTTAGAGGGTTATGTTAGGAAAATAAAAGAATTTACAAAAAAGGGCTTTAGAATGTATGGTTATATTGGTGCTCATAACATTTTTATAAAAGCCTTTACTGTATTTCTAAGTCTAGCATGGCCTGGGATATTGCCAGTTTCCCTTGACATAATGAACATACCATGAACAATATTGCCCTACATTCTGCTGTCCAAATGTTCTATGCTTTAATTTGCTTTACCCTAGATTTCTAAGAGCTGCTGCTACATAGAATTAAATAGTGGCAACCGGTTTCCTTTTAAAACGCAACTTAAAAGAGGATACTATGAATGTAGTACGCATTTTACCAGTCTCTTACACTTTTTTTTTTTTGAAACAGAATCTTGCTGTCACCCAGGCTGTAGTGCTTGTGTAATCTTAGCTCACTGCAACCTCCGCCTCCCAGGCTCAATTGATTTTCCTGCCTCAGCCTTCTGAGTAGCTGGGACTACAGGAATGCATCACCACGCCTAGATAATTTTTGTATTTTTAGTAGGGATGAGGTTTCACTATGTTGACTAGGCTGGTCTCAAACTCTTGGCCTCAAGTGATCCACCAGCCTCAGTCTCTCAAAGTGCTGTGATTATAGGCATGAGCCACCACACCCGGCCCCCTTACACATTTTACATATACAGTCAGTTTCCTGGAAAGTGCATGCAAGAAATAAAGCGCTTGAACAGCGAGCCCATCCTGTAGGGGCTAAGGTGGATTACGTCGAAACACACCCAAACACAGGTGTAGAAAGTTACTATTGCAGGATCTGGGGTGATTAGGCAAGCCTAGAAAAAATCCTTTATCTATTTTTTAAATTATCAATAAGTAAAGGGGGAAAAGGATTTTATTTTACTTCAATTTAAATTAGGTTAGGTAAATTGTTAGTGATAGGTAAGAATACAAATAAGAGAAATATTGAATTATGTCTAGGTGTATGTTTTATTTGCATTTTGTCCTCTACATCTTCTTCAGTCTTCTCCTCTGTCTTATGGTAAACATGATTTGATTTGTAAGTATAGAATATAAGGTTCTTATTTGGAGCTCAAACTCCAGCATCTACTTAACT